CCCCACCCCCTGGGAACACCCACCCCACCTTGGGGGTCCCCGAAGCCCGCCTTGTAGTCTTCCCAGGGCCGATTGAAGTCCACCGAGCCGTCCTGACGCCTCTGAATCACTGTCCAGCCTCCATCTGCCCAGAGAGACACAAGGTCACCAGGGGGCGCCCTCACAGGGCAGGGGCAGGGCACGACGACCGGGTGTGTGGGAGGGTGAGGCCGAAGAGGAATGCTGGGGGCTGTGGCTGGCAAGAGGATCGAGCCAATCTTTGCCCCAGGGACCCACAGGGAAGGAGGGGCAGGAGGGATATGCGAATCCAGCTGCAGATCTTTTTAAAATTTTGTTTTGTTTCAGACTGGATCTGGCTGTGTAGCCCAGGCTGGCCTTGAATTTACAGAAATCCTCCTGCCTCAGCCTCCTGAGGACTGGGATTACAGGCGTGGGCTACCACGCCCAGCACCAGCTGTCCCCTTTCTCTGAGCTGGTTGCTATAAAGTCAATGAGGAAAAGCCTGTTTTTTATTTTTTATTTTCTGGTGCCGCTGGCAGTGGAACTCAGAGCCTTGCACCTGCTAAGCAAGTTGTAACAAGAGCCACACGTCCTACCTGAGGCCATCTGGCAGGTGACCAGGAATGGTGGAGACCCCTGAGGCTGGATCTGGAACAGTCCGCTCTGCCTCTCGCCCTCCTCAAAGAGCTCCTGGCAATCCCGGGGCAACCCTAAAGCAGACAGGAGCTCAAGCCAGAGAGAAGCCCTGGGGGCCTCGAGAGACCACATGGCTGAGGGTTGGGCAGTGGGGTGACAAGGAGGTGAGGAACAATCCTGATCTGGTGACCCTTCCCCTGCATCTGCCTTAACTCTCCCATGGCTCCCTAGGGCCCTGAGTGTGGTCTCTTATGCAACCCTGAGAAGCAGCCTCCTCCTTCCCACAGTCCCCTCCCTTCCTCGGGTCACATACAGGGGCTTTGCACATTCTGGTCCCTCTGCCTGGGACTCTCTTCCCTCCCTCCTCTCTCCAATTTGCAGAAGTTTGCCTTCTCTCACCCCCCCACCTCCTAAAACAAAGCACGGGGTGACCCCCTTCCCTCCACTGAGTTGGGGCTCCCTGAGGCCAGGGACAAGAAGCTCTGGCTGCAGTTGGGCACTAGTTTGACAGACAAATGAAGGAGTTGGAGCAGAGGCAAAATGAACCAAGTCAGGCTGGTGCACAGGGGATGCTGTCTGAGCCCCAGGGGCTTTGGGGGTCCCAGCTATCAGAGGGTGAGGGGACAGGGGGAAGGGAGGAGAGGAACTCGCCCTTGGGCCCCTGGAGGCTGGGCCAGAACCAGCCCGGGGCCTGCTGGGAAAACAGAAAGGAGGAAGGTCCCCGAGGGCTACAGGACTCTCCGCGGGACTGTCCACTGTCCACACTGTCCACACTGCGGGATGGGGTGGCTTTGGCTGGAAGGGCACTTCCGGCCCCTCGGGGCAGATCCCCTTTGCCCTACTTTCCTCCTGTCCAATCAGGACAGGCACCCGGCCAGGCAGTGATGTGGTCTCCTCAGCCCAGCTGTCTGTCGCCCAGCTCTGAACTTTCCCCTACTTGGCGGCGCTCACACCGTGCACCCCTGCCTCTCTTCCACCAACCTCTCAGCCTGGCCCTGTGCCTGCTGGCCCCAGGAGCCCCTCATCCCAGGGCCACGGTGGTCTGGGAGGGCTGGGAGCACCCCTCCCAAGTCATGGCTGTCTGGAGGAGGAGGTGGGGAGGAAGGAGCCTGGGAAAGGGGCGCCCTCAAAACCCCAGGGCTGGATGCCAGAATCCAAACCCAGGGTGTGAAGCAGGGAATCCCAACTTTCACCCACTTGGCTGTGGACGCCCCAGATGCCGGCAGGTTGTTGGGGGTGGTTGTGAATTTAGGGTGGGATTTGGAATTGTGTCTCACACACACACACACAAACACACACACACACACACACAGAGGCAGCTTGAGATGGAGGGAAATTCAGGACAGACACCATGAAGGACTTAGAACCTGTGACGGCAGAAAAGGCCTGTTCTCTGTGCGTGTGTGTGTGTGTATGTGTGTGTGTGTGTGTGCGCGCGCGTGCACGTAGGTTGGATGGGGCTTTGTGGGTAAAAAGGTGCGAAGGAGGAGAGCCCTGGAATTGTAAGACTCAAGAGTGCATGTGTCTGGCCCAGAAGCTGGGTGGTGGGGGTCCCTTCCCTAGTTCCCCCTCCTAAATCTACACCTCAGGAAATCTTGGGGTGCCAAACGTCAGCACCCTCCCTCGACGTGGTGCTGCTTGCCCATTACCCTCTAAAAAGGCTCCAAACCTTAGGACGGCTCCCCTGAACTGCCACCTGCCATCACCTCCAGGCACCCCTGAACCTTCAATGCATCGCGCGTCTCTCTTCCAATCCCCGTTCCCTACCGGCTGGGGCTTGGCGGGGGTGGGGTGCTGGCTCGGTGGGAAGAAGGGCGAGGTGGCCGGGTGCCCCCATCAGCCCAGCTGCCAGAGCCTGGCCGGCCCTGCGGGACCCGAGGCCAGGGTTTCTTTCCTCTTCAAGGTGGGCCCCAAAAGGGAGCGGGGTACCCGCAATGGCCCTGGAGGGGCACTGGCACCTGACACTCACTGTGCGGGCGGGTGGCATTGGGAGCCCAGCCACCACGCCGGGCCATCTTGGGGAGCCTCTTTCTTCGGGCAGGCTCCGACACCCTATTGCCGAGGTTCCGGGGAGCCAGGAGGTCAACCTGCCACAGGAGGCAAGAGCGTGGTTGGGACCCAGCAGCCTGGCTAGGGCCGCGGTCCTGCCCTCCCGGCCCGGGCCAAGCTCGGTACCCGGCTCTGCAGATTCTGGATTCTCGAGTGCTGCTTCTGCAGGTGTCGCTGCTGCGCGGCCACCTTCTGGAACAGCTGCTCGATCCGGCCATGCTGAGCCTTGAGCTGCGTCTAGGGAGGACGACGGCGCGGGTGAGGCCCGGCTATAGGCTTGCGACCTCTCCGCCCACCCCACCGTTCCCTGTGCACGTCCTCGGGGCCAGCGCGGGGGTCCCCTTCCTGTCCACACAACCCGTAGAAGCTCGCAGACCTGCAGCTCGCGAAC